CCCCCCCGCCCCCGCCCAGGGAGAGAGCGAAAGGGCAGTGTCTCAGAGACGCACATGTAGATCAGCTCGGACTCACGCCGCACCAGCAAGTGCTTCTCGTGGATCAGCTTGAACCAGTCCACCAGCATGGCGTCCTCCCGGCCCTCTGCAAGCAAGCCACATGCTCCTGAGCCTGGGCTGGCCAGCCATGCCCCCTTCAGGACCCGCCACCCTGGGAGCCACCCACCCACCAGCCCGGTGGGGGGGGAGCTCCTACCGTTCAGCCCACCCCGCAGCTTCTCCTCCAGCAGCACGCCCCGGTGCTCTAGGGCGTCCAGCTGCCGCTCGATAGCATCCACTTCCCCATGGATATCCTCCTCGGGGATGTATCGGTCAGCCTGGACCTGCAAGAGACACCTGGTCACACGGCCCAACCCCCAATGCCCTCCCACAGCACAGGAGAGGCAGGGGGCGGTGCCACGGCACGGCACGCCCCCTGGTCAGACCGGCTTGGAAGAGGACTGGACCTGCAGGTACACCCAGGGCAGCCTAGCTCCCCGGCCCCCGTTCCAGAGGCATGGGAGGGGGGACGAGCGAGCCCTAGCCACACGAAGCTGAAGGACACTGGCCATGTGTAAGCAGAAGCCTATTCCAGGCACCTCCCCGGAAAACTGTTATTAGTAACCAACTGGACATATCCCCACTGCCCTTGGCTGGGACACCTGGTCTACCCTGGGCCCCTGGCTTCAAAGTCAACCCTCCAAGAGGGTGGCCAAGACCCTTTCTGCGACACCATCAGGCAGATACTCCCTACCCCCACCCGTCACAGAGCCCCAGGGGGAGTCTGTGGGGCCAGGCCCCGGGGGCTCCTGCCGCTACCTTGCGCTTGATGAGTGGGAAGCCATGTCCCGGGGCAGGCGGTCTTGCTGGCTTGGGGCCCTTGGCGGCCCTCCTTGTGCTTGGGGAGGCCGTGGGTGCTGCTTTCCGGTTGAAAGGGTTCTCCTTGCAGGAAGACTGAGGGTGGGGCGACAGGCCGAGGGTAAGTCTGGGGCGGGGGCTGTGAGGCCGCAACAGCACAGAGGGTCCGTCAGCACTCAGCCCCCGACACCCTCGGCCATTCAGTGGACATTTCCGGAACCAGATGGGCGCTGGGTTAATGGGTTAACCCACCCTGCGAGGTTGGGTTGTAAAGCCCTCGTGCGTGCGGATGAGAGGACAACGTCACTCACTTCCCAAGGGTCCCAGCTGAGGGAGCAGCTGCTTCAGCACTAGGGGCCAGGATGTGACTGGGAGAGACATGACGGCCCTCCCTGCCTGGGGCAGACCCCAAGCTCTGTGGAGTCTGCCCCTGTGCCTCTGGGCAGACTCAGTGGCCCCTGCTGGGCACAATAGGGCACTGCTTGCCACACAGACAACAGGCAGGGCGAGCCTGCTCACCTTGGCTGCCCCCACAGGGAAGGGTGGCCTGCAGGCTGGTAGCTGCCCTGGGCCTTCTGAAGCAGGGGAGAAGTGCAGGTGCCCAAGTGCAGGTGCCCAGCAACCCCCTCCTGGCCCTCTGCCCCACGATGTAGGGTGGGGGTAGGGTGGGCAGGGGAGGTGCCTTGGGATTGGTCTCTGCCTCTCCATGTCCATCTGTGGAGGGGTCTACTAGAGCTAAAGAGCTGATCCCTGAGCTGGCAGCACTATGGTTTCCTGCCTTCGGTTGGCCATGGCCCCCTGCTTCCAACCACGAGGCCCGCAGGCTCCCAGACAGGGAAGGGGCCAGGGAGCTAGCTGCACGTTGCAGGAGCAGCTGCAGAAGCCAAACCAACCCCTCCCCCCACCACCACGGGGCCAGGTCTCCTCACTCTCCCCGGGGGACATCTCAAGGACACGCAACAGGGTGGCAGAGGCAGAATCAACCCACAAGAGGCTGAGAGGCCTGGGGCCAGGGAGGGAGGACACACTTGGTGTCCGGCTCACAGTAGGGGCTGGACCAACAGTGCCAGGCTACAAGAACAATGCCACACACCCACTGTGAGCTCCCGCAGCCCACTGCCCAGAGGCCCGCCAGCCTTGGACCCCACCCAGGGTTGCTGAGTATAGGTAAAAGTGGACGGTCGGTCCCAATGGCACGGAGAGGGACAAAAGAGAAGCCCTTGCTGCCCCCTGGTTCTTGGTGTGTGGGAGCCCCTAAGACATAAGGCCGCATGGGTGGGCTCCGGCATAAGAAGCACTGTGAAGACGGAAGAGAACGGGGCGGCCGTCTGTTCTGTTGTCCATCGGGGTGCTCTGGGTCAGAACCAACGCGAAGGCCCCCGGTGGCAGCAGACACCAAGGCCAACGGCGTGACCTAGCTCACAGGACGCTGTTCTACATCCTACTCTGCGGAGGGGCAACTGCACGCACGGCCTTACAAGCTCATGCGCGGCCACCTGAGGGCCGACCCCTGGCCTCTCCCGTCCGTGATGAAACCAGAGGCACACAGAAACAGAGAGTCCAGTGGACGCATGGACCACGTGGACGTCACCACGCTGAGGCCAGAAGGAACTAGACGGTATCGGTGACCACTGCCCACTCTCGAAGAGGGGCCGAGTTCAAAGGTCCTGACAGGCTGGGAGGAAAATGAGGTGCAACATTCAAAACCGTAAGGGGGAGCCCAGGCTGCTCAGCCGCACAGAGTCAGAAGGAACCCCGGGGACTGTGGCCCTTGTCACCCTCCAGGGCTGGAGCTGAACTCCCCGGTGGCTCAACTGTGTGCAAGAACCTGTGGGAGGTGCATGCACTCCCTGGAAGAGCCAGCCACCTGCGGTCCCAGGGCAGCACTGCCCCAGGGCAGAGCTCAGAGGGTTAGATGGGGTGGGGGTGGAAAGGAAACACGGGGCAGTGGGCTGTGTGAGGCGAGGGGGGCGGCAGGAATCACAAGAAGGAGTTAAAGCACTAAAGAAAACTTAAAAAAGGGGCTTCCTTGGGTGGATCCGGCCAGGTCCCTCCTGCCTCAGCTCCCCGGCACTCAGAGCAGCAGGGCCTGGGGAGGCCTGGTGCCCGGGCCTGGGCAGGCACACACAACAGGCGCTTACTACAGGGGTCTCTCTAAGACCTCCTGCTGCCCGCCACCTCCCAGAGGCCTGGCTCCTCGGGGACAGAGCCAGCCCGGGCACACAGGAGCTGCTAGCTGACTGCCATCTGCCCTACTTTACAGGTCTCGGGAAAGCAAAATGACGCCAAGAGGAGTCAGCGTCTCCCCGTAGCCCCGACTCCGCTCTCTCCCTCGCTGCCGGTCGGGCAGAGGGGAAGGGAAGGCGGACGGGAAGAGGGTCAGATGGTAGAAGGGCCACTCACCTTGACCTGGAGCTGGGGGGACGAGGTTCTGGGGGTCAATGCAGGGCTCCGGTCCCCCACTAGCACAAGTGGGGTGGGGGCGGCTCCGGTGCAGGGCTTGGCTGCCTGGGCCCCGGGGCTGCCCCTAGTGTCGGTGGTGAGGCTGGGCCCAGCCTGGGGCGTCTGCTCTGCGCTGGGCTGCGCCAGCTCCCCCGAGGAAGACAGGGAGGAGTGGGCGGAGGGGCTGGCAGAGCTGCCAGGCGTGCTGGGCGCATGGACGGCGGGCTCCGAGGAGCTCTTGGGCACCAGGGGGGGCTCTGGAAGTTCCCCACCAGTGGTCTGGCTGGAACCCTCGGAGGTCAGGCTCTCCACGCTGAGGGCGGGCGACGGGGCGGAGGAGGGGGGCTCCGAGTGTGAGAGGCGGGAGGTGTGGACCACTGTGAGGCGGAGAGCAGGGGAACCAGGTGAGGGGGGGGGCCCAGTCAGAGCTTCCAGCCCCAGCTGACAAGCTCCCCACCTCACAGAGCAGCATGTGACCCCTTCTGTGTGCAGCTGGGGAAACGGAGGCTGGGAGAGCAGTGCGGGGCACGGCCATGGTCATCTCCTAGCTTCCCGCTCCCCCGGGGCTCTGCCTGCCACCACCAGTGCGTCTGTCATCCAGCACAACTGTCCCCTCCACTGGCCACAGCAGCCCGTCCAACCCCCACCCGGGGCAAGTGGGCTTCAAGAGGAAGCTGCTCAGTGGGAGCTGACCCCCGCATGGCGCGGGTGGGAAGTGGCCCCGGCAGTGTCAGCTAGGGCCAGGCACGCCATACACCACTTCACCCAGCAGCCTGAGAGGGAAGGGACACGCCCGCAAGACTGCATCTGGCCCTGACCTTGAGCCTGCCCACAACACTGCCCTCCAGGCGCAGAGAGCAGGTCCTGGGCTCCGGGCAGGGCCCCGGGCCAGTCACCAGAGTGCCTGCCTCCGGCCATCACTCCATTGTCTCGTGGGGGCAGGGGGCCAGAGGTGTCAGATTAGCCAGGGCCCCCCACCCCCATGGTAAGCAGTGCTCGGCCCAGGGGTTGGAGGGGACAGAGAGCCAAATACACCACAGCCTGGACCCAGGGCCCAAGCTGGGCAGAGAGAGACCCGGCCCACCATCTTATGGGGGTGGTGGGGCCCAGACATGGGTAGGAACAGTTCAGCACCAGCACCAGCTACAGCCAGGTCCGACTGAGCCCAGGGCAGCTGGCCACAGGGGTCAGAGCCCCTGAACAAGGGCAGCTAGAGCTCCTCCACGGGCGGTCCGGGAGCAGCACCTGAGTTAAGAATTCGGACTCTGGAGCCTGACCCTCTATGTGCCTCAGTTTCTTCACTTGAAAAACCGGCATGTCCCTCACAGGCCTGCGTTCCATGAAGGGGAGGCCTGGGGTGCTGTGAGACCACCCCCCTACCTGGCCCCAGGCCAACCCCACCACCCTGGGAGTTCTAATGTCACTCACCGAGCGGGGAGGTGCTGGGTGCTCGGGGGGCAAGGCGCTTCTTGGTCTTGGGGCTGTTGGTGGGGGTGATGCCGTACCAGGGGTGCAGGGATTTGGGCGTGGACTCCTTGTGGGCAGGGGCTGGGCTGGGTACAGCTGGGGGCTCCTGCTCCCCACCCTCCTCCTCTTCAAAGGGGTTGTAGGGCTTGGGCTCCAGACTCTGTGGGGCACCCTCCTCTGTGGCCCCATTCTCCACGCGCCGGCGGCTCGGGGGCTCGGGGCTGCTGCTCGGGGGCTGGGGAGCCGGCTTCTTCTTGGGCTCAGCCTGCACCAGAGTGATCCATGGGGGGTCCTTCCTGGGTGCTGGTGTCCTGGAAGGGGGTAGGAAGAGGCAGGGGCTGTGGTGGATGGAGGGCATCTCTGTGTCCAGTCCAGACGGCAGCCTCGTTGAGAAACAGCCCCCTTCCTGCTTTGCCCCCAGCCTTGTTTACCCCCAGTCTGGATCATCTGTAGCCACTGCCAATGCTGCCCCCCGCCTGGGGGGCACCCACCTGGGGCTGCACCACTTCTACCATGTGCGGCTGGGGGATGACTGGGCCTCGCTCCGCATGTTTCCCCTCCACTCCATGAGCCCAGGGCCAGCGCCGGGCACACAGTAGGAGCTGAATAGGCATCACCTCCTGCCACAGCAGTGGCCGCTCCCCAGCCCCGGGACCAGGTGAGAGGGCCAGAGACTGCTGCCCAGAGCTGTGCCCGTGCAGCGGGGCCCTGGGGGCTACAAGCTCACATAACAGCCAGGTGTTTCTGAGCTTTTCTATCCATCACTGTGGATCCTCACAACCTCAAAGCGGGCCCAGGTCTCCCATATAAGAAAAGACCCCCCAGGACCTGGACAGAGAAGATACAGGGCAGGTCCTTACCCGCCCTGTGGTCGCCAGGTGCAGGGACCTGGGGAGCAGCCGGGAAGCAGAGGTGTGGATCCCAGGGACCCTGAGGGAGGGGCAAGGGTGTGGCTCCCAACCCCAACCCCCGCCCAGCTTGGCCCTCGCTACCCACAGGAAGACAGGCCCGGGAGAGGGGTGTCCTGAGTGCCCATCAC